AATCTTGATGAACAAGATTGATATCACCACACAATGACAATGAATCATGAGAAAAGAAAAGAAAGAAGACAATTATTTTCTACAGAGTTTCTCTCTGTCCACAAACTGTGGAAAACTTTATTAATCACTTGCAACTGCAAATTCTGTGATTACAATGAATTGACTTGATTATAAAATTAGGGATTACTCCCTCTATTTATAGATTTAGGTTAGCTTGCTCCTAAGCCAAAGCCCAAAATACCTACTTTGGTACTAAATCAAATCTATCTATTTGAGATCTAAATCAAATCTATCTAAATCTAAAATCAATCAAATCTGTGTGTAGTTTGCTTCGATCCACAAACTCTTCGACTAGGCAATCTCCCTTCGACACACACACTATTTCGACACAATCGAATTACAATTTAATACACCACCTAATTCATCATGTCTAAACTATCTATGCTCATCATGGTTCTTAGTCTTCTGAATACTTCGACCTGCACTCCCTTCGTCATGATGTCTGCAATCTAATTCTCAATTCTGCAGTGTTTCAAATTCATCTTCTCATCTGCTACCTGCTCTTAAAGATAGTGAAACCTTATTTTAATGTGCTTGCTTCGACCATGTGCTATCGGGTTCTTCACCAGATTGATAGCTGACATGCTGTCGATCTTCATGGTAATTGCTCCATGATCTTTCCATGTTATCTCTTCGACCAAGTTCACCATCCAAGTTTCTTGACATGCACAAAGAGAAGCAACTATATATTCTGCTTCGCATGATGATAATGCCAATATCGGTTCCTTTCTTGAACTCCAAGTAACTGGTGCACCACCTAACATAAACACATATCCTGTTGTTGATTTTTGATCTTCGGCATCATTACACCAACTCGAATCAGTGTATTCCACCAACTTGCATTCTTTTCCTTTGTCAGCTGCAGGAAACAAAATGCCATAGTCGAGAGTTCCTTTGAGATACCTTAGTATCCTCTTCACCGCTGCTACATGTGATACCTTTGGCTTCTGTATGAATCTACTTACCATACCTACACTATATGCTAAGTCAGGCCTTGTATGACAAAGGTATCTCAATGACCCAATAAGTCTTCTGTATTGGGTTAGGTCGACATCATCTTCATCTACATCTTTCAACAGTTGCAGTCTTGGTTTTGCAAGTGTCGAAGTTGAGTTGCATTCTTCCATCTCAAATCTCTTGAGAATTTCTCCTGTATATCTTCTTTGATGCATCATCAAACCTCTACTGCTTTTGTAGAATTCGATTCCAAGGAAATATGAAACCTAACCCAGATCAGACATTTCGAATTCCTTGCTGAGATCACCTTTGAAGTCTTCGATCTCACTTTTGCAGCTACCTGTTATCAACAAATCATCGACATAAAGACATAGTATAAGCAATTCACTATTGCTTCTTCTTACATATACTCCATGTTCAATTGTGCACTTCACAAATTCCTTCTCCCTTAGAAAACTATCAATTTTCTTATTCCAAGCTCTTGGAGCTTGTTTCAATCCATACAGGGCGTTTGCAGCCTATACACCTTTCTCTCTTCGTCATGTTTCACAAACCCAACTGGTTGTTTAACATAAACTTCTTCGTCTAAGGATCCATTCAGGAATGCACACTTCACGTCCATATGACATATGTGCCATCTGTTTATTTCTGCTAGACCAACAACCAACCTGATTGTTTCGATTCTAGGAACATGTGCAAAAACTTCATCAAAGTCTATTCCTTTTTTCTATAGAAATCCTTTCGCCACAAGCCTTGCTTTGTGTAGAGTTACTTCCACTTTGGGATTCATTTTTACTTTGTATACCCACTTAACATCAATTTCCTTCTTGCCTTGAGGCAATTCGACAAGTGACCAAGTGTTGTTGTCTTCGATAGATTTCACTTCTTCGTTCATTGCTCTCACCCACTTCGAATCCTTCAATGCTTCAGCTGCATTGACAGGTCCGACATCTGCATAGAAAGCATAATGTACCAACTCACCTTCATTATCTATCACATCATCCGATGTAATCACACAATTTTGCAATCTTGCAGGCATGCGTCTTGTTCTTTGAGGTCTGCTTGTACTTGGTTGATCTATAACTGCTGGTTCCTCTTGTCGAACTTCTCTTTTGACTTGAGTTTCTGGTTCTTCAAGTAGGATTCCCACTGAATCTTTCTTGACATTTCCAGTCCAATCCCATTCTTTAAGCTCATCTATGATCACGTCCCTGCTGATCACAATCTGCTTGTTCACTGGGTCGAACAACTTGTAACCTCTTGTCGAATGATATCCAACTAGAATCATTTGACTCGACCTGTCATCAAGTTTTCTTCTCAACTGATCTGACACATGTCTATGTGCAATAGATCCAAATACCTTCATATGACTCAAGCTAGGCTTCACACCAAACCAACATTCTTCTGGAGTAATTCCTTCTAGCTTCTTCCTAGGACATCTGTTTAAAATGTATGTTGCAGTCGACATAACTTCACCTCAAAACTCTTTAGGTAAATTCTTGCCTTTCAACATACTTCTCACCATATTCATGATGGTTCGATTCTTCCTTTCTGCAGTTCTATTATGTTGTGGAGTATAGGGTGGCACCACCTCATGCATAATCCCTTTCTTTTCACATAATCTGTCGAAGTCTTTTGACACATACTCCCCACCACCATCAGTTCTTAAAACTTTGAGTTTTCGACCACTTTGTCTTTCGACCATAGACTTAAACTTGCCAAATACCTCAATCACTTCACTTTTCTTCTTGATTAGGTAAGTCCACAGCTTTCGACTGAAATCATCTATGAATGTAACAAAGTATTTGTTACCTCCCATCGAATCCACCTGGATTGATCCACATACATTAGAGTATATGACTTCAAGAATAACCTTTGATCTGCTTCCTGCATCCTTGCTGAAGCTATTCTTGTGCTGCTTCACCTGCACACATTCCTCACATACCTCGTTTGGAATGTCGATTTCTGGCAATCCTGAAACCATATTTCTTCTCTTCAAATCTTTGATGTCTCTGAAGTTGAGATGACCTAGTCGATAATGTCATATCCATTCATCTCTGCTAGCTGCAGTCGAAAGCCACTTGTGCTCCATCACATTTAGTTCGATCTTGAAGGTTCTATTTTGCGACATATGAGCCTTCAAGATTAATCTTCCATTTGCGTCGACGACTCTCATCATCTTATCTTCGATCGAAACTTTATAATTCTTTTTTACCAACTACCATATACTGAGCAAATTGCTCTTCATGCCTGGTATGTACAACGCATTGAAAATTACTGACCTCTTGTCATCTTTCATCATAATCATAACATCACCAATACCTCCAGCTGCTAGGGTATTGTCATTTGCGAATTTTACCATATTTTTCATTGAGGGCTTTATGTTGACAAACCAGTCTTTCCTTCCAGACATATGTGATGAGCATCATGAATCTAAGTACCATTGGTCCTTGAATCTATGTTCATCTCTTATTGTGACCATCATCATCATCTCTTCTTCTTTATATTTTGCAAACTTTGCATCACTTTCTTAATTCTTTCGCTTTTCTAGACAATCACTCGAATAATGACCATACTTCCGACAATTGTAACATTGAATGTGACTCTTGTCAGGTTTTCGACCACCACCTCTTCCTCTATTTGCAACTCCACCTCTTTGGTTGCCTTGGTATGGTCTTCACTGATTCGACACGTTTCCTTCGTTTTGGTTTCCTCTACCAGTCGATTTGTTGTAGCCGCCTCTACCTCTGTCGAACCACTTTTCTTTGCCTTTGGTTTCTTTTGTTGAATGTGCCTGCAAAGCCACATCACTCTTCGACTTGCCTGCAGCTCTTTCAGTCATTCTTTGTTCATGAGATTCAAGCGTCCCTTGAAGCTCTTCCTTTGTCAATTTTGACAAGTCTTTCCCCTCTTCTATAGCCACCACCACGTGGTCGAACTTAGGAGCCAAAGATCTCAAGATCTTCGAAATAACAGCTCTTGTTGTTAATGTTTCTCCATATACCTTGATTTGATTCACTAGTTTTGTAACTCTAGTGAAAAATTCAGACATGCTCTCACTATCTTCCATCTGAAGCAATTCATACGTTCTCTTGTGAGTTTGTAACCTCACTTCTTTCACCTTTTCTGCACCACCAAAAGACTTCTCAAGAACCTCCCAAGCTTCTTTTGCAGATTCTGAATCACTCATTTTTTCAAAAATTTCTGGACTCAGACATTGATGAATTATAAAGAGTGCTTTATAACTCAGCTTCTCAGATTATGTGTGTTTCTTCTTTTCTTCTTCTGAAGCGTTTTCTCCAAGCGCTTCCAATCCATCATTTACAAGATCCCAAAGACCTTGACACCTGAATAAAACTTTCATTTGTTTGCATCAATTCTCATAGTTGTCTACTTTCAGAACTGGTAGAGTTGCTGGATAATTTGCATTCTCATAACTCGTCATCGTGAATTCTTCTTCTTCTTCAATCGTTCTTGATCGATACTTCCTTTGAATCGATTAACAGAGCTCTGATACCAGATGTTGGAAATCTACTAAATATCTATGATGAATTTCTATCAATCTTGATGAACAAGATTGATATCACCACACAATGACAATGAATTATGAGAAAAGAAAATAAAGAAGACAATTATTTTCTGCAGAGTTTCTCTCTGCCCACAAACTGTGGAAAACTTTATTAATCATTTGCAACTGCAAATTCTGTGATTACAATGAATTGACTTAATTACAAAATTATGGGTTACTCTCTCTATTTATAGATTTAGGTTAACTTGCTCCTAAGTCAAAGCTCAAAACTATAAAAGCCTAAAATACCTATTTTGTTACTAAATCAAATCTATCTATTTTAGATCTAAATAAAATCTATCTAAATCTAAAACCAATCAAATCTGTGTGTAGCTTGCTTCGATCCACAAGCTCTGAGCAACCTCCCTTTGACACACACTGTTTCGACACAATCAAATTACAAGTTAACAGAAATATGGTTGGTGGTGATCTGGTTGCGTCGGGAAGGGTCGGAGTCTCCCTGCCATTCGCGAAGGCGCAGTACACTGCGTGTCAGTGTATGGAGCTTCAGCGGTCTGAGCTTGCTGGTCGCGATTGGGGAGGACGGGACCATGTGTGGCGACCATTGTTGATGGAAGACCGGAGTTCGAATCCGGTGGTGGAGCGCAAAGTTGGTCGGTTACAGAGATGACGACTGACAGAGACAGTGGCCGCGGATCTACCGTGTGATTGCTGCCGTGGTTGCAAGTTGTGGCCGATCAGAGCGTGGTCGTCGGAGTGGAGCTGCTCCGCCGATGTCGGTGTTGCACTCGCAGTTTCGGATGGAGCAAAACAGATCCGAATATACTCTTTTTCTATTCCGATTTCTCTCTCAACCTGTCTCGAACTTGTTGTTCTAATTTTGCAGAGTATGTTGTTGTTGTCTTGTGATTACAGTGATTGGGTCATTGAATCTAATTGTTATGGTGCTTGTTTTTCCTTGAGAATTTCTGCAAGTTTACAACGATTTTAGAAGTGATGATATGGTGACAATGGAAGGTTGTTTTGCAAAGTTATGGAATTGGTGTAATCTTGGCCATGGTAAAAATTGTGATTTGTGTTGAATCAAAGGTGATGGAAGTTTGGTTTAGGAATTGGTGAATGGTTTGTTCTTGATTGTGTTGGGAGTTTACAACACGGTGAAGTAAAAAAAACAGACATATTGATGTTAGTGATGAAAGGTTTCATGAGATTTGTCAGAAGTTGTTCCCGTTAGTGTATGTAAAATAGAAAATAGAAGACATAATGATGTTAGTGATGAAAAGTTTTATGATGATGAACAGTTAATTAGAAACAGTTTATATATAGCTGTTACTGTAACTAAAACTAAACAGTATAATTGGAAAAATAAATAATTTAAAATTATAAGAAATAAAAAATAAAAGAGAACCTCATATATTAATTATCGGGTAAAATAAAGATTGTTGTTTGTAAATGTGTAGAAAATTATTAAAAGAAAAAAAAAGTGTTGTGAGAGTGAAAATTTGAAATTGTGTGTTGATAATCGTAGAATTCGTAGATGATTATTAGTGTCTAAAATTATGAAAATAAAATACTATTTATAAAGTTGGAAAATTAGATTAAAGGATAAAAGAGGGAGAAAATAAAATCAAAGTAATACCGGATTATATCTTGGTGAACAAGATTAAGAATCTAGACCTAAGTGCGACTCTACAAGATTTGATTTGAAAAATATTTAAATCGAAAAATATTTTATTTATTTTAGAATTTTTTTTATTATTATTTTTTATATAAAATAATGATTTTAATAAAAAATAATATTTAAAATATATTAAATATAAGAAAACGAAAATACTATTTAAATAAATAAAAATATCTCTTTTTTGATATTTTTGGAATAATACAAGAAAATTAAAAAAAAAATTAGAACGCAAAAAGTTAAGGAGGTGAAATTCAAACACATGATCTTAAACTTGTAAGCCTCACCTCCTTATCAATTGTATTATCTAATTTATTTAAAATAAAAAATCAATTAAAAATATATGAAAGTAGGAAAATATTTACTATTTAAAAATATAAATAATTTAATATAAACTATTATATATTTTTAAATAATTAAAATTTGTTAATGTTAAAATGTTAGCAAAATAAACCAAATAAATTTTATAAAATTCAAGTTTGAAAATAAGTTTGTCCGTAGAAATAGAGCTGACAAATTTGGGGTATGATATCATGTTGTCACTTCCCTGCACAACTTCAAGATTTCTCTCATTCTGATGTGAATTCAATTTTTTTTCTAAAAGCGGCTAGGAGTGTCTCATTGTCATGCTTCGTGTAACGACAACCACTCCCCCACTCTCAGGTGTTACATGTAACCACTATCTATCCTATCCGGGCTCGAGTGTTACACCACACGCCTAAATATATTAAATATAACATTTCTAACAAAGTTATATGGGTATTTAAATCTTGAATGCTCATCAACGAGAAATAAAAGAATCATAAACTAGTATTTAAGGATGGTGTGATACTCTATCGAAGATATATGTTGACTTAGATTGTTAATAGAGATAACATAGAGAAAATCTCGAGAATATGATACTTGCAAATAAATAAAATTTATTTTTTTATCTTGCAATCATGTCAAACTTTACATTTATATTCTAAATATTTTTATTAAATAAACACGTAAAAAATGTTATACTTTAAGAGGGAGAACATTTTTTTAGTAAAACTATAAAGGTCAACAAGTGGAATCACATCACTAAAATTATCAACAACTGGAATCACATCATTAAAATGATCAAAAACTCTGTTGAAATTAAGATCCATACTATATATTTCATTTTCTATTAATATATATAAAAAAATTAACAAATTAATACTTCGTCCTTAATTATAAAATTTTTTGAATTTTTTTTTATAAGACTCTCTTCAACTTTTAAAATGTATTAATTATTTTTTTTTAAATATACTCTTAATTATATTATATTTTTTCACAATTTATAATAAATACATTTACATACACATTAATTATTTCTCTCTCTTAAAAATAAATTTATACAATTAAATAAAATAATCAATAAATTTATTACACTAACAAACTTTTTTAATTTCTACAATTTACTTAACGGAATCTTATATTTAAGGATGAATATAGTAATTACTATCAAATGGAAAAGGAAATAAATATTTTCAATATATTTTTAAAATGAACAGAAAAAGAAAAGTAAAAGATGATAAATTTTATAGAGTAAAACCAATATCTTTGTTTTCAATATAGGCACAAAAAAATTGTATATGTTAATCTACCTTTTACAAATAAGTTGGTCTTATCTATTAAAGAATAAAATTCATGATAATTTTTGATTTTGATGGATCCAATTCTTCTAAAGTTCTTGATTTGCTTTAAAGTGTAAAGCGGTTATTATCTTTCATTAATCTACTTAATATAAATTCAAAAAAGTTATGATGGTATTTCTAACTATATGTTATTTTGATAACAATCCTCTCTACATATCATTTGATAACGATTTTAAATATAAATCCTAATTATACCACTCTATATTAAAATAAATAATAATAATAATAATAATAATAATAATAATAATAATAATAATAATAATAATAATAATAATAATAATAATAATAATAATAATAATAATATATCTAGCTAATAATAATATTAAAATAATAATAATAATAGTATAATAGTCAACTATCACAATTATAAATAATAATAATAATAATAATAATAATAATAATAATAATAATAATAATAATAATAATAATAATAATAATAATAATAATAATATATTCAACTAATATTATTATATCTTATTATTCTAATTATCAATTTTATAAAAAAAAAATTAACTATCAAATAATAATAATAATAATAATAATAATAATAATAATAATAATGATAATAAAAATAATAATGATAATATAAATTTTTTTAACTAACGCTATTATATTCAATTAACACTATTATATCTTATAACCCTACTTATTTTTTAATTATTTTTTTAATTATTCTCTTTTAATTATTTTTTAATTATTCTCTTTTAATTATTATGTTTAATATTAAAATTATATTTTTTTTATATAAACTTTGAATTACTTAGTTTTTCTAAATAATAAATACAAATCACAAATATAAAAATTATTTGTTATTTTTTCAAGTTAAAAGTTTTAGTAAAATTGAGATAATTATAATATCTTAAAATTAATATAGTATATGAATTATATGATATATAATGATGATGATAATACTATTAATATTCCTATTCCAATTCCAATTATAAATTTAAAAAATAAAACTTATAAAACTTTTCATTTTTTTTATTTTAATTCAAAAATAAAAAATGTTTAATAAATTTTATTTTAATAATTAATAAAATTATAACTAATACAGTATAATTATATAATTATGATGATATAAGAAATTTTAAAAAGTAAATAAATACATTAATAATTACTACTCAACAAAAATTACAAATAAAAAAAATCAAGTAAGAATAAAATTATTTACTACTTTATACATATTTTTATATAAATTTTTTAATATTTAATTTTTCTAAATAATAAATAGAAATCACAAATATAAAAATTAATTTAATAATTAACTATGATAAAAATTACAATAATAACTCAATCTCACATATTTATATGTAGAGTGATTATGGATAGAATAATAATAAATAAAATAATAATAATAATAATAATAATAATAATAATAATAATAATAATAATAATAATAATAATAATAATAATAATAATAATAATAATAATTTCAATTATTAATTAAAATCTATATTAATACAATAAATGAGTGAATGAATATAATTAAAGAATAGAATTTACAAAATAGCAAAAATAAGCAATTCAAAGATTTATGATTATGGATAGAACAATAATAAATATAATAATAATAATAGTTTAAATTAATTATAATCTATATTAATACAATAAATGAACGAATGAATATAATTAAAGAATAGTAGTTACAAAATTGGAAAAAAAAGTAATTAAAAAGTTTATGGTATTTTGTACCTCATTTTCTTTTAAGTAATTCAAAGGTTTATGAGTTAAATAATCACATATTAATTTAAATATATAAGATTGTATTTATAATAAAAAACATTACATGTTTTGTTAATAAGATTTGATTGAATTTATTATTAATTTAAATATAATTAATATTGATATGGTATAAATCAATTTAATGAATAAAAATTGTATTATCATAATAAATTTATTGAAATTCTTTATATTATATTCATTTTAAAGTTTTGATTATTGTTTTGAAGAGAATTATATTAATATTTATCTATTTTTTTTTCAATATTATGTTCCAATTAGATATTATCAAAAATTTAGATGTTTGTCAAGCGAAAAATAAGTGATATAAGGAGGATATTTTTTATTTTAATGTTTAGTATTACTATAATAAATTTATGGTATTGAATATACTTATATTAAATTATATTAAAATTTATTCAAGATTTTTTTCACCTTTTAAGTTGACTGTATTGAAAATAATTATATTTTTGGATTAAAGTAGCTTTTACTCTAAAATATTTTATTGTATAGAATTAAAAAAATTATTTAAAAAAATGTTTGATACTAATTTTAAAATAAACACTTGAGCTCTTTAAATATTTTTTATTTCATTAAATAAAATATATA